ATACCCGAATTCATGGTTATGATCCTCAGTAGAAATTAGGGCATACTCCTTACTTAAGGGGTGTAGGCTCCATCTGAACCTTCCTGCCGCATGGTGAGCTGAGTCTTTGATATTGCAGCCTCGATTGCAACCTCAATAGCCAGTCCCAGTTCAAGGATCCACCCCGAAACGTGTTTAAAGGCCTGGCTCTCTTTGGAGGCCCGAACCCTGCCTAGATCCCCTCCGGGTTTCATTTCAGAAATCTCGACCTTGGGCCTCTGAACATTCAGAATTCAGGAGCACCACGACGTTGCTTGAGAATGGACTCGAAACCTTTTTGTCAACTACATTGGCCACTCAAGAAAGCCGAAAGAGTTCGCTGAAGTCGACAGTCGACAACTGCTGGAGTTGACGCAAGCGGACAGAGCTAAAGCTGCCTTGGGATCTACCCATCACAATCTTCGGGTCCGGCCAACCCCGATTGCAGCAACACTCGAGAATGCTTCGTCCTTTCAGGGCAAACCACGACCCGTCAACGGCAAACCGATGAAAAGCTGATACTTGCCGGCCCAACCCAGCTAATGACGAATGCTTCTACACGGTTCTACTCGCTGACTTGCTCGATTTCCGGCACACCACCTGCAACTCCGCAGCCTTGTGCTGACTTGGAAGCCAAGCACAGTCCTGCATCAAAACAAAAAGCGTGTAACCTTGGTAGGGTTTAGGGTTTAGGGTTTAGGGTTTAGGGTTTAGGGTTTAGGGTTTAGGGTTTAGGGTTTAGGGTTTAGGGTTTAGGGTTTAGGGTTTAGGGCCTGCGCATGGGGGCATGGGGGCAGCATAGATTCTGATACCGATCTGATGATGTCCCTGCAAGTGCTTTCCAGGCAACGCTGGTTGCAGGCCGTGTGTGTCGTCGCAGTTGTTACCGCTGCGGCGCGGACGACGTATGCAGCTGGACCTGGTTTTGCTTACTTTGCAAGTGTAAGTTTTCACGCTAGAATGAGGCCTCAACCGAACGGCATGGGTTTAGGTGCTTCTCTCCCAAGAAACGCATGGCAAATGTTATTGGGCTTCAGGGTCACACTGCAACTTGAGTCGCAAGCAATATGTAAGCCTGTAAGCCCCCAAGCCTGAAACCCGTCATTAGAACAGCAGAAACTTGAGAAAGGTGTTCGCTCTTCGCGATACGCAGCGCCGACGGGCAGGACGGTGGTTTGGCATGTTGTATCGGTTTTGGAGTCGAGCTTGAAAGGGGCCTCCTGATTGCACTTCGGGACGGCGCGAAACCTTAACCACCTGTAAGGTGCTTGTGGTCATTTAGTCAAGAATCTTGTCCTTAAGAAGAGATGCCCAGAGACTCCAAAACCCCTTAATTAAGGAATATACCTTAAATCATATTAGGGTTCCTATTATTATTATTATTATTATTATTATTATTATTATTATTTAAGGTCTATTCCTTAATTAAGGGTTTTGGAGTCTCTGGATACTGTATGGGCTCGGGAGGGCTTGCATCTAACTCCTTTCGCACCGGTAGCTGTGCCCAGAATAAGGGATCTAACTTTTCTCCTAGTCGCTTTGCGTTAATGTCCAACCCGTCTCATCTTCAAGGAATGTTGAGGCAAGTGTGAGAGACTAGCGATCATGGGTTGGAGAAGACAGCGGCTGGGTCAATGGAATTGTGAATGGGTTCATGGGCTAATAAAAGCTACAATGGTGCCAGGACGAGACTTCAGAAGCAGTGACCCAGTTGTGGTAACGTAAGAAGCCTTGTTTGTCCTTGTAGGGGGATCAATGTGGCAAGCTAACATTTCAGCTGAGAAATCTTATGAAATCTTCAGGGTTCACAACATCCACACAGAAACCTGATGCCCTTTTTACTGCCCCTGAGAGGAATTTCGCCTCGGCAGCTGACAGGGTGCGCTCCTAGGGGATCAATGGGAATCAGTCCCTAAACACTAAACCCTACCCTAAACCCTAAACCCTATACCCTAAACCCTATACCCATACCCTAACCCTAAACCCTAAACCCTAGGGCTGGTTTGGGCGAAATTGTGTGCTTTTAAGGGCAAGTTGGGGTTTGACAGTCCCAGGGTTTTTGGGGTGTAGGTCGTTGGTGTCACGCGCGTTTTCCAAAGTTTGTTCTTTTTTGCTGTCAAGCTGAGGGGTTTGTTTGAGGCTATAGTCTTTGCAGGGTTGCCTGGAGGCGTCCGAAATTGCAAGTTATCCTTTCGCGTGCAAAGGGCGCATGTCTGTAGCGCATGCGTGCGCAAGCCCTGCGTCGGCGGGTGTACTTGCTGATGATGTTTGCGATTGGGCTGGTGCTGTCATGATGTCTTGTTTTGAGCCTGAAATCTAGAGACTATCATGAACACACTGGCGCAGCGATACTTGGAAGACTGAAGGACAACCGGCTAAAATGGCTGACCCCGTCCACGTGGCAAGAAAGTTGATGGCAGGGGTGCGTGAAAAAGGCCGAAACCCCCGATTCTCTCTGCCTCTACCCCTCACCCTCATGGGCTGAGCGGCAACGTCTGCTATCTAAGCGCCATCGCGGTTAGGACTGACTTAGGAGGATGTTTTGTGATTGTTGTTAAGAACCCTAAACCCTAAACCTTAAACCCTAAACCCTAAACCCTAAACCTTGACAATACTTACAGTCGGACAAATGCTCGTGAAATCGGGCACACGTACCAGGCAAGTTCATGCGACATCATGCGACCGAAACCACCCTAAGCCCTAAGCCCTAAACCCTAAAACACTAAACCTAAACCCTCATTTTCAAGCGACTTCAAGTCCACATATCACGCTCAGCAGCATCTTAATTACCAGCTTCGGGGGCCCTTGAACAGTCTTCCCTAAACCCTATTCCTTAAACCCCAAACCCTAAACCCTAAACCCTAAACCTAAAGCCTGCTTTTGCCCATCAGAGATCACCCTGTGTCGTTAACGCAGGCGAATCAAGACGGCGGAATCGCCAAACCACTTGCTCTTCCTGGTGCGCGCTCGCGGGGGGGATTCAGAGGTTTAGGGTACAGGGGTTAGGAATCAGGGGGATGGACGGAAAGAGCCACTGTCAAGGGGGAAAAAGGTGCAAGAGATACCTTTGTGTAATACTCCTTGCGCATAACTTTGGGAGGAGTGTCTCTGTGAAGAGACTATAAGCCTGACTAAGCTGACTGTTTCACTCTGCTTTTCACTGTGCATCTGTCAGCACGTGGACTTGGGAGCCCAGAGTCCCGGCGCAGCAGCCTCAGGTGGAGGAATATGAGACGACACTCAACGAGCCTCATGGCAGATCTTGGCTTTTTGGTCATAGTAGTTCAGGAGATGTTTTGAGCCCTCTGGTCCAAGGTTGATCCTAGCCGATGGTCAGCATGCTCTGCTGCAAAGGTGTGCTAGAGGTTGGGTACGTGCACGACGCGTAGGCAGAAGGACGTTAGTACTGAGTAACCTCGGTGTCATCTAGCATCGATTCGTATTCTATGGCCTGGTGATTTCTTGAGTGAGGAGGGTAATCTTGAGTGTGCCAGACTCAGAGAAGGAGAATGAATTGCGATTTCTAGAGGCGCATCAGCAGTCTGCGCAATGCTGCGGTGCCACGTGGGCACTTGCATCAAAGACGGCGCTCAGCTCATGGCCCCTTGAGGACATGGGAACCTCCAACAATGATTGAAAAAGTGACGAACTTCATGGGGACGGTCACGAACGAACACGAACGCTTGCAAACGCTGAAAGCATGGCTGCAGGCCATGTCCATACACCCCCCCCCCCCGAACATGACATGGGTGTGGGATCTGAAAAAAGAGGCTTCAAATTGCGGGCTTTTCTGGGGCCCGGGACTTAGCATCGACAAAGGGTAAAAGATCCAAAAACGTGATGTTGCCGCGTGGAAAAGATTCACACAAGCTGTCGTTGCCGTAGGGCGTTGAAAGCGGAGTTCGTGGAGAATCGAAAAATCTTAGCCACCAAGGCTGAGCCCGTGAGGCTCGTTCCCTGGACCCCTATATTACCTATATATTAACCTGCTACTGTATTGGCTTAAGAACCCCCAGAAACACAGAAGAGTAGTCCCTATATTACCCTGATAAGGATGAATACATTTTGTTTTTTGGGGGGGGGTTCTTAAGCAAGTGGTAGCAACCCAAAACAAGAACCCATCCTCGTATCATCCCTCACGTAAACCCATGCAAACCCTGCAGCCGTTTCATCAAGAGCTGAGCGGTCCCCCGCCGCGCCGCGCAAGCGGGGGAGGAAGGCGCGGAGGAGAGGCGGGGTCCTCATTAGGGTTTAGGGTTTAGGGTTTAGGGTTCAAAGTTTGGGACTCAGGGACAGGGCCATTTAAAGGCTGGCTTCTTTAGGATGGCGACTAGCATCTTTCCCTCAGATTCCGGCCTCAGAGCTATTGGCTAGGTCTCAGATTAGGCCCTGATTCCTTTTTTGGGGGTTTAGGTGCCCTTAAAAGCCCCCTTAAATCAAAACGGGCACCCCCTTTTTTTCCCCCAGGATACTCTTGGGTCTAGGGCTTGCCTTGAGGGAACCATGGTCTCTGCTTTACAAAAGTGGGCCCAAGATCGCAGATCTGGGATGCTGCACCAATTTGGGGCTTTAGGAAACTAAATAAACCCTAATATGGACCCCGAATAGTAAGGTTCCCTTATACAAAGGACCCCCCAGAAGGTACTAGTACCCCCTAATTTCGGAAACCCCCAGATCGTTGTTTAGACTGGCCTCGACACATTGGGCTCCTCTCGCTCTGCTTCAGCAAGGGCAGGTTGTAAGTTCTCGGGATGGGACTCTTGGTTCTCATCTTGGGTTGGTGGTGCGTGGGGAACCGGCCGCAGCATGCGACGGCTCTTACGTCTCGGAAGGTAGAGCAGGCGAAGCAGGGCCTAGTTTCCTACAGGTCAGACGCGACCTTTCAAGGAAACTCCTAGAAGATCGTTGCATCAAAAGTGTCCCTTGCTCCTGCTCCGAAAAGAAGCACCATGACCTTTTTATGCTCCCTGGAAGGCCGCGCGATGCGAGTTAGACATCTCCAAACGCATCTTCAAGAGCAGAACTTGGTAAACACAGGAATCTTGGAGACAAAGACTCGCAGCTTGTGCTTTGGAGGCGATGTGTGGCTAATTGCTAGCTTGCAACTCCGTTTTGCTGGAGGGGTCTCGTTAAGAGTGCTTGACCTGCTTTCGCAACGTTGTGGGTGAAGCTCGCTGCCCGTGCAGAGCAATCCAGGTGCTTGTCCAGAGCATTTGCACGTGCACAGCTTCGGCACAAAGACAGCCAACAATCCCAGCACGAGAATGCGGACCGATCTCCGATGCACACAACAACACGTAACAACACGACCAGCTACCCATGGCCCCTGCTGTATCGGGCTCTGAACTGCCAGCTTTAGTTCCCTTGTTATCCACATCCTGCAAAAGCACAGGTTCCTACTGCACCCGCTTGCATACAGGGAAGCAGCACACGCCGCATCAGCACTCTGGGCAACCCCGAACCGGAGCCCAGTAGACAGCGACGCGATACCATGCAGCCACACCCGACTTGCATCGGCAGTCGCAGCCAGAGCGGAGCATGCATTGCATCACCGCGGCACACGTAGGCAACTCTCGATATTCAAAAAGTGCAACGCTTGCGGCTGACTGCTTGTGTTGTGTTTTTCTAACACCTTGTAAAACCCGGGGAAGGGGAATTGATCCTAGAATGTTCGCCTTCAGAACTGAAACATGCACGCCAAAGTTCTTTGCGTAAAGCCAAGGAGTGGTTTTGCCGTTGAGGGTAGGCCTAAACCCTAAACCCCAAACCCTAAACCCTAAACCCTAACCCCTAAACCCTAAACCCTAAACCCGAGGGGCGATTAGGTGACTAGGGGCTTTGACTCGAAGGAGGAGCTGCACCAGATGTGGCCATGCAGAGTTTGCATTTGCATCATCGGCCACAGTAGACCCTCAACCCTAAACCCTAAACCCTAAACCCCAAACCCAAAGCCCCAAACCCCAAACCCTAAACCCTAAACCCTAAACCCTAAAAACCCTAAACCCTAAACCCTAAACCCTAAACCCTAAACCCTAAACCCTAAACCCTAAACCCTAAACCCTAAACCCTAAACCCTAAACCCTAAACCCTAAACCCTAAACCCTAAACCCTAAACCCTAAACCCTAAACCCTAAACCCTAAACCCTAAACCCGATCCCCCTTTTCTTCCACACTTTCGTTGCGAAGGAAAGCTTTCTGAGCTCCGGAATGTTCAAGTCGGAGTGGATGCCGTGTTCTGGCTTCGCTCTATCCAGGCATTAAAGGCGCCTCGCAAGTGCTTGCTTTGGGGTTTAGGGTTTAGGGTTTAGGGTTTAGGGTTTAGGGTTTAGGGTTTAGGGTTTAGGGATTAGGGATTAGGGTTTAGGGCTTGGGTTCTGGCTTACAAGTTGTGCTGAAACCAGCATGGGCCATTATGCCCTATAACCCCTTAACACGGCCCTTTATAGGCTTGATTCGGGCCTAATAGCCCATCCTGGAAAGGGGATCCCTACCTGAAACCCTTATGATTCTGATGTTGTGTCCGTTTTACGTGGAATTGAGGCCTGGGCGTTGTTGGCTTTAGGATGCTAGAAACGCCTCCTTCAAAATGGCCCGCTGGAGTAGGCTGAAGCCCAGTGCAGCGCTCGGATTTCTAGGAGTCGGATTTTGAGAATTCACAGCTTATTGTGTTGCCTAATGGTCGATGACCTGTTTGTCTTGTGGCAAAGGGCCCTGCTGTTGAGTAGACTGAAGAGATGCAAGACTGCAGGCCTGATGCATGATGAAACCAATAATTGAGGGTTTAGGGTTTAGGGTTTAGGGTACACGGTTCTCTCATTCGTCCGTGGATTGAAGTTTTGCGAGTCCAGCTTCGCAAGGGTCCTGGTTGATATTTCTTCTGAGAATTCGTTCCACCACAAAAGCGCAGGGATCCTCGTATTAGCCGCTTACTTTTCAAGAGCTTCGGGCTTCAAGATCGCCGATTGCTACTGTGACTTGGGATGTTCCCCCTTAACTAACAGTCCTTAATGGGGACTAGAACAGGAGGTATGTACTATAATCCCCATTAAGGACTGTTAGTTTGAGGGGGAACATCCCCAACTGTGCCTCCGTTTCCCCTCTGTGTCAGGACCCTTTCGCAGATGCTCTGGGCGGTATTCCCCCTGGCATCTTCGGGTTTGTGGATCCTTGGATTTTTGAGGCTTTCAGAGCATAGGAGTCTTTCTGCAGATTTCTGCAGGTTCGGGTATGCGTATGGGTTGGCTTATAGGGTCTCAGCAGATCTTCGCAGGAACGAATTCTCTTGATGCATCAAGTAAAACATCCGTCCGCCCGCAACCTGGACCGCTAGAACCTGTGCCTACTCAAGCGGGCCTCAGGATAAGGAGCTGGAGGCGTTCAGAGAGATGCTTGGAGTTACAACTCAGATCCTGTGTTGAGGTTATAGTTGCAGAGGTATGACATTCAGGTGGAGTAAGCACACTTCGGCTCAACACCGCCCAGAAACCCCCCCCAACACCCGAAACCCTAAACCCTGAGCCCATCTAAACCCTAAACCCTAAACCCTAAACCCTCAACCCTCAACCCTAAACCCTAAACCCGAAACCCTCGAACTCCTACCGCCACTCTTGTCGGTCCTGGAGAGCACGACCCAAGGGCTGGGATCAACCCTATCTTCGTCTTTCAGGGCGTGGCACCGGGCCCCCAGCACTCCATGTTTGCGCCTGGGCTGTGACCTCGGGGAGTTTCTCCGGGATTTATAGGGTTTAGGGTTTAGGGCTTAGGGTTTAGGGTTTAGGGTTTTAGGGTTTAGGGTTTAAGGTTTCGGGTTTAGTGGTCTACGTTGCATTCTGGGATTGCTGGAGGCGCTCGACCGCTGGAAATCCTGGGGTGTCGCGTCTTGGGGTCCTCGCACTTTGGTCAAGGGTCTGGGGTGTCGAGCATGCTTTCAGAACGAAAGCCGCTGACCCCAAACCAAGCATTTTCACCAGGGCTCCCTGAACTGCCAATGAAGCTTCAACGTTGATCCTGTAGAGGGGCAGCTTTGTAGACATCCTGTGCGGGTGCGTGTGTACGTGTGCGCGCGCGTGTGTTGGTTTGTGCGTGTGCTGGTCTGTGTGTGTGTGCGTGACGTTAAAGCTTGCAAGCAGAAATCCACTTACTGTACAACTGGCCTGTGTTTCATTTATAAGCTTATCCACTTTCAAGCCTTCGATCGCCTAAATCCGATCCACCTAGCACCCAAGGTTAGCCGCATGGACCATCAAATGGACATGGCATGGAATTGCCACTCGGCAGGCAAATTTCAGCGCATTCCTTAAAGCCAGAGACTCTCGACTCATAGTTGTCATGGTTCTATATTGGAGGGTGAAGACAGGAGAAGTAGAGAGACCGGGGTTTAGCAGCTTGCTGCAGGGCCCTTTATAGTGGAAGCCAAAAAGTTGGAAACTCAATAGCCTCAATCCCTAAGAGTAAAGTATATATAGGGAATCCCAGTACTATTTGTCCTTAAAAAGGTTTCCAACTTTTCGGAGTTTACTGCAGGGCCCTTGGGGTTGAAACACGGCTGGAAAGCCAAAAGGTACACGCTCAGTCGGTTGGGGAAGCCGCATAGGTTAATGTGCACATCCCTTCAGTTCGTTTCTGCCGTAATTTGCTGCATGGCAGCACGACAGACTTAGACTTCACCTCCGTAGCCAGAGTGAATTGCACCTACTTGGCTTTTGGCATCCGCGGGGTCAAAGGCGCGATGACCGATTTCTAGCGATTGGGTGTCACGATTGGGTGACATCTTGGTTCTTATCAAGAAGTATCAAGAATCAATAGCACTTGGTATCCGAGTTTAGTCTTTGTAAGAACGTTTCATACCCATTGAGACATTCTGCAAACTTAAGCGCACCGCGTGAAGCTCTGTGCTCCTTACTTGATGACCTTCCTCGTCCAGTTCATGACCTACCCTACCCTCTTCTTTTTCGTGACCTACATGTTCCATTTCACATCCTGAACAGGTTCCCACTGAAAGCCTATTTCCTAACCCGAATCACAAAAGCTTTGTGCCATTCTGGGGATGATGCTCCCTAAACCCTAAACCCTAAACCCTAAACCCTCGGTTGCAGCGAAGGCCTGGCACAAGGGGAGAAATCACAGGCCGAAGCAGGGTCTGGATGCCGGCGCCGATTTTTTTTTAATCACGAAGAAAGTTCATCAGGGGAGGCGAAGTAAGCAAATAGGCTTTACCAGGCTGGGCTCTTCGCCCCCTATAATCCCCATAATTAACCCGATAAAGGGCCTTTTTAAGGGGTTATAGGGTATGCTATCCGCTATCCCACCCCATCCCCGCCACAAACACATGCATCCATCATCCCATCCGACATTTTTTGCTGCTTGGGGGGTTTGAAGGCTCGCATGTGCACTTTCGAGAGTGTCATATTATTGGAACTACTCACTACCAAATATGTATGGAAGATGGCTTCTCAAGGCTGCAGTGCTGGAGGGACAAAGATGCGAGAGCGGGAGAGAGGGAGAGAGGGAGAGAGGAGGTTGAACAAAATGCCCGTTTCCCTGGTTTGCCAGTACGCCACGCAAGCACACGCGGAACGAACGCATAGACTCGCGCATGCCCGCATGCATTTTCGTAGCTGGCTTTGAAAGCTCACCGGAGCATGACTGCATGGCTGAATGTACTAACATTGCATTGCGAGCGCCAGCGGCATCCACTGGCGTTTTTGCTTGTCCGGAAGTGCGAATTCATTTTGGCCCACTTGCTCGTCCGGAAGAAACTACTTCATTTTGCAGCCCCACTTGCCTCACATGCTCTACTTGCCCTGCTTGCCCCAGTGGTGCAAGCGGGCAGTGGCAATGGGGCACGTGAGGCAGCGCCCCCGCTCCCGCCACCTGCCCCCCCCACTGCCCATCACCCGTCTTGCAGGGTAGCCCAAGTCAGCCTCAGACTTGCTCCCTCGGGGGCAAGCAACCCACCCCTCCCTGTCTCCCCCTCGCTGTCTACCCCCTCTCTGTGTCTCATCCACACACGCATCCACAATCCACACACACAGAGATGCCCATCCACACAACATCCACGCAAATCCGCACACAAACATCCACACATTACACCTCCACACATCCATACACCCTCACGCACACCTCAAATGCGTCGGCGCGCGCAGCCGCGCAGGCGTGCACGTGCGCGCACACACCCATGCGCATCGCATCAATGTGCACCCACATTCGCCCACCGCACCCAGGCCCGAAGGCCCGCACGCTTGCACGCTTGCACGCCTGCATGCCCGCCCTCCTGCCCGCCTGCGCGCCTCGCCTGCCCGCCCCGCCTGCTTGCCCGACTCGCCCACACGTACATGCATGCATTCACGCACACCCGCGCGCTCACGTGCATGCATGCATAAACGCGCACCTGCGCGTGCGAGCGCGGGCGGAGCCTTTTCCGATCCCGCGCCACCATGCGCACGCGCGCGCTGGCACACCCAGAATTACATGCAACAAGGGGACCATACACACTACTCATATGCAATCAGGGTGCTGCGCACTGGCGGTATGACAGATTGCAGAACCCTTCGCAGGCGCAGAAGTGCTTCGCGGTCTCCACGAGCCGAATCAACGGCGATTTCGTGTATTTCATCTTTCACCACTTGAGGCAAAAAGGCTACGACGCCCAGCCGCAGAGGGGCCTGGTCCACAGCCCAAGATTTCAGTAATCCCAAAAACCCACAGGGTTTAGGGTTTAGGGTTTAGGGTTTAGGGTTTAGGGCAACTTCGTTCATAAACCAATGATTGCCCTGAAGCTCGGCACGTTCATGTCGTTGCAACATCTAACCACCCGGATAGAGGTCCTACACTTCGAGTTCCAAACAGATAGAGTATTCGTCCCTAAACCCTAAACCCTAAACCCTAAACCCTAAACTCCGGGCGCTTTCTACAAACCCGTGTGCGTCACACATCGTAGAAGGTTGAAGAGCCTGAGATGTCCTGAGTCTGAAGATTCGAGCGGTCCTTATATGTACTTGGTACATCTTCTAGACTTCTAGACACACGTCAAGACGTGGAAGGCGGCTCTCCCAAAGAAGGCCCAGTGCCCGTAGTAGGGGCTCCACACTTTCACTTTTCAAAAACACATGCACCAAAGGCATTGAGGGTTGCCGGCTGCCCCGGTGTGGTCTTTCAGAGTTCTAAACCCTCAACCCTCAAACCTCAACCCTCAACCCTAAACCCTAAACCCTAAACCCTAAACCCAAAACCCTAAACCCTAAACCCTAAACCCTAAACCCTAAACCCTAAACGTTCATTCAACAAGAATGGTGTTGTTCTTGCTAAGCCACCGATTTCCCCAACGGCTCCAAAGGGAAGTGAAAGGCCTTTGCTTCAGCTCCTAGGAGCCTTCGAGTCTGAGAGCTGAAGGGCCCTAAGCCCTAAACCCTAAACCCTAAACCCTAAACCCTAAACCCTAAACCCTAAACCCTAAACCCTAAACCCTAAACCCTAAACCCTAAACCCTAAACCGCATTGGAAGCCCCAAAGGCCCTTTGGAAAGTGAGGGCTGGGGGGGGGGGGGGTGCTGCATGTAAGCCTGCTAAGGAGTGTTTCCAAGCTCCTTATTTTGCTGGCGCGCAGCTTGCACACTTTGCGGAGCAAGGCGTTGTAGAGAGCCTCCGCCCTGCTTTAGATGTTGTTTTTCGTTTCAGTCGTGTTCTAGCCGTCTTTTTGGAAGAAGGAAGCTGAAGCTCATTGTTTTTGTTGTTGCCGAGGGCTGGGGGTTTCCGAGATTAGGGGTACCTTCTTCGGGTCCTTATAATCCTGCCATTTGGGGGTCTAATTGCCGGGGTCCCTTATTTTCGTAAACTCCCACATGAGACCCGACGAGACCAGATGAGACCACCGTTGGGTTCACCATCGTTCTGAGGTGCTAAACCTAAACCCTCAACCCTCAACCCTAAACCCTAAACCCCAAACCCCAAACCCTAAACCCTAAACCCTAAGCCCTGTTTTTCATTCACTTTTGGGGTTCTTGCAAGTGGGGTCGGGGGGGGGGAAGTGGGGGGGGCGTTTTGGGAAGAACGCCGGCGCTCACAGCCCGCCTCCCTCTATAATGCAGGGGTCGGAAGAATTGCGAATAGTATTCTCTCATGGTCCCTATATTATGCTATACTAACCCCACCCCCCCCCCCCCACCAAAAAAAAGTTCTATCTAGTTAGGCCCTGGAGTATTCGAGGATCCTGTCCGGACTTTCGAGTGCTCAATTGGGGAGCGGTCTGGGGAGTTACCCCGGGGGGCGCCCCCTTGTCTTTTCTTAGTAGTAGAGTAGGTAACCTTTAACCTTTTTGGGTTAATATATTCCCCGTATAGTCCCAAAGGTTAACCTTTAAAACCCCTAGGTACTGGACAACTGAGTTTTTGAAGTCTGTAAGCGAACTGCTTGGGGGCTATTAGCCGGCATCCGTGCTCTTTGCACTGCAGGGTCAATCTGCAGAGAAGTCGTACAAGGGTTTAG